GGAACCAAACACAAATAATCTGCGAGGAACGACTGAAAGCTTTATCATTATCCCTCCTTTACCTTTATAGGTTAACAGAGAACTGAAAAAGTATTAATTTAATAACACGAAGAAGAAGAATAGATGACCAGTCTTGTGTTCGTGACATGGAAGCCCTAGACTGGAAGATCGCTTACCTGTTGAGAACCATGGCACGGGCATTATACGTTTTTAACTCTTTTAAACACGTAGCGGACAAACATAATGTTAGATCAGCAGCAGAGCAAAAGCAATGACAAGGCACATTTGAAACCATCATACCCAATTCCGAAACATGATTTTGCATAGTATGCATGTTGTTGCTTGCCCTTTTAAGCTTAAGAAAAAGAAATCAGAGTTGAAAAATCTGCATGAATAGAGAAGTTACACTTATTAAAAACAGCATAATATTATGAAGCGTAGTCGAAAGACCAAATTGCCTGTACTCAAAGAGTTAAGATATTTTAAACATTACAGAAATAACCAATAAGGAGAAGATTCTAGTGGGTGAAAATGAAGAAGAAAGGGGAAACAAAAAGAACCCACAAAATAAAACTTAACATGACCGCGAGAGATGAACGAAAGAAGGACTGCATGAACGAAGATGAAAAGAGTAGAGTTGTGAGGGCCGGGAGACATTTCGCCAGGATGAAATAGATAATTATAAAGTAAAGAAAAGGCGTACGTTAAGCAGACTAGAACACAGAGTTCACTCATTAAGGATGAGGTTAAAGGCTAGAAGAAAAATTAGAGGAAGAGAAGGAGAAGGGTGTGGAGGGAAAGCTGGAAGGGGAAGACAAGGAGGGAAAGGAGAGAATGGAGAAGGAAGAAAAAGGAGGAAAAGGAAGAGAAGGAGGGGAATTAGGCTAAGGAGGAGAAGGGAGAGGACACGGGGTGAAAGTGGATGAGAAGGAGGAACAGGAGAAAGGGAGGAAGGCGGAAGAGATGGAGGAGGAGGATGAGAGGAAGGAAGACGTGGGGAAGATGCAGGTTAAGTGAAGAACTAAGAAAAAGGGTAGGGGGAGGAGGAAGAAGAGGAACAAAATTAAATAGAAAAGTAGAAGGAAGAGACAATAAGGGGAAGAAGAGACGAAAAAGAGGATGGAAAAGAGGAAGATAAAGAGGAAGATAATCGAAAGGAAGTCTGACACACGTTGACAATAGCAGAACGCTGAGTCATCAAGAATTGAACGTCGTGAGAAGAGTGCACTGTCTTCCCGGAGCTCACAGTCCTGTTTCAGACAATAAGGAATCCGTACAAATCTCCAGGGGTCAAAAGAAGAGAAAGCACAACTAAAGGAAGCCCGCTGGTGAAAATCTGCTGCTTTGATTAATTAAAAGTCAAGTAAGTTGGAAAGGTTCATAGAAAGCTAGTGGCTGGTTGGCGGGTGCTCCAGTATGGTATGTTCCTTCTTTCTTGTCTAACATTTGTCGTTCTTATTGCTCCTCCTTCATTTTTCTGCTCGTTACTCTCTTGTAACTCTTCTAATCGTCGGCACCTATAGGACTCTATTGTATTGCAAGTGCCGTAAAACTCTTACTTCAACTAAACCCCCAAAAAGTAGAAAGAGTTATAAAGAACCTGGCCTTTGTCACCTACCCCCCTCCCCCAGCCACACGCACGCGCACACACACACACATACACACACACACACACACACACACGCACGCACGCACGAACGCACGCACGCACGCACGCACACACACACGCACGCGCGTGCGAGAATCTTTAGTTTGAAATTGATGCTGGGTAGATACGGATTGCCGCTTTTTGAAATTTTAGGAGTAAATGTAAACCTAGAAAGTAGTATAATCAGAGGTGCATACAAAAGAAGAAAAGAATCCACAAAAGAAGTCACAACGTGTCAACCTTGGAGCTGATTTTGTTGTGGGTACGATGGCAATGACTAAAATCTATCTATCAGTCTGTCTGTCTGTCTGTCTGTCTGTCTGTCTGTCTGTCTGTCTGTCTGTCTGTCTGTCTGTCTGTCTGTCTGTCTGTCGACAACTGTGTACGTGTGTGTATGTGCATACACTTGTTGCACTTTGCGTTTGAACCCTGGGGCACTATGCTGAACTCGAACATAAATCGTCAACAACTTTTCTGTTTTGTAGTCCACCCTTTCTCCAGAGAATTCCTAACGCCATTGTAATATCCATGTACTCGTAAACATGAAACCTGAGAGCGCGTCAACATTTTTATACATAACCAGCGCTCGCTTTTGCAACATCAAAGAAGCTAAAATAACTGGCTTACCGACCACATGCACGTACTTCCAATCGGATCATTAGATAATACCTGTTACTATCCGGGTGATTCCCCATCGCCCACCATAATTACTAAATCGCCTACTACTGGGTGAAATCGCCTTGGTTGGCAAGCACTGAATTAATCTAATAAAGGATAAAGGAACAAAGAAAAATTGTCGTTGCTAAGCCAATCGTTCCTTATCTTCTTAGACATAAATTTTCTTTTACTTTTATGGTTCGTTTTTAGCCAAATTAGAGTTAGAACTGCAATGGCCACAATGGAACTACCACCAGCACGACCACCTTTATTATCATCATCATCATCATCATCATCATCATCATCATCATCATCATCATCATCATCATCATCATCATCACTAAAGAACGTCTAGGAATCCTATCAATTTGACGTAAAAACAGAAAATGCGATTTCAGAGCACCTTCTGACTGAGGCGGGAAATTTTCTTTATTTCAAATGAAACGTTTTAATAAAGAC